AGTCATAAAATGTGATTATCGGCCGATACCGATCTCCGGCCGATTGATCGGAGCATCCCTAATTGTACCCCATAACCTACTCTATCATAAACTTCTAAGGTCTCGAAATCAACTAAATTATAAAAAAATAAATAAAATAAAAAACTGTTGTAGTTTCTATTACATGCCTTCTGTTGTCTAAATGATAGTTTATACTTTATTAGCGAGTAAAAGGTCTTTTAGCATAATTGTAAAAATGCTCACCTTCAGGTCATAGTACACGTTTTTTTTAAGTACTTAAAAAGTAAATATTTTATTTAATGAATCTTTAAATCTGTATAGGAACATTTCTCACTATTAACTAGTTGCTTATTAGCATGCCTATTATTAACACATTGGCTGTTTATTAGTACTTCTAAAGCACATATTTTGCATGACCATATTCTACATCCCTAATCCTACCCAATACCTAAATTAAACAACTTCCTTACCAAATAAGCAGCAAATTAGGAGTTTGAGGCAAAAGTCGTAGTTAATGGTTTGTTATAAGCTAGAATTGGATAATAAAAGTAATAAAGTGTGACCTTTAAATCTTTATATCATTTGGATATAGATTGACAAATGATATTTATAATTTTATTTAAATAGTCTGCCATGCTGCTATATAGATCTCACTGACATTACAAATATTCCAGAATTTTATCTTTCTTTTGGGCATATGAATATCAGCAACTGCACCAAATTGCATATTTCTGCTTTGGGCTTCTGAATAAAATGTAGGTGTTTTATTCCACATATCATTTTTTTTTCAGACTTCACAGGGTTAAATTAATTTCATTTACCATCTGCTTTCCGTGGGCGGTAATAACACCAGGCAGTTTGTAAATAAGAAAATCTAATAAGCCTAATTTACATACAAAGTAGGCGTGTTTGTGTTGAAATAACAGTGATTTAATATGAATAAGCACGGGGCTTATTAATGACTGGTTTAAACTGGACTGCAGGTGGTCAGCGAATAAGAGCAAGGTTTATGCTCTTAAACACAGCTTGAGAAAGTGTCTATCAAGTGAATTTGTCCCTTTTACACATTTCAACAACAGGACTGGGCCAACAGTCACAGAGTTGAGCTAAACTGAGAAACAGCTCTGAACATCCCCCACACTTCAAACTGCCTGGGGCATATAGAGAGATGGGAGAAGGGGTTTCTTGTAGCCTTTCTTAAAACTCTTCCTGGTATGTCACCACACTACTCACCACAAAAGCAATCTCAAGCACACTGATTTTAATCTTCTTTTGCACTTTTCTGAAGATCGACAAGTGATGATGTGAGTACATGTTACAGGTAGATATCAGCAACATTCGAAGTATGAGTTAATGTCAACATGAAGAAAATTTTATCTCCAGCCCATTTTACGCACATGTGACGTGCAAAAGATGAACTTCGACATGAAAAAAATCTGGTTTAGAATGTATTGTGAAAAGAGGTTGTTGGAAGAATGAAGTCAGGTGGATGGGAGGGGAAGAGTGGAAGTAAAAGGGGCACGTGAAGTTTCAGAGGTAGAGCAGATAATTACATTTTGATTAAAGATTATAAACACATTTTCCCCCTTTGGAATAATATGCATCAATAAATCGTTCACAATATGCCAAGCTTTTAATTTCATGCTGACATCCCATGACTGCTTCTCATCCCTTTTTATAGCATAAAACAAATGCTTGATGCCTGACAGCCTGCTGTTTAGTGCTGGGTGATAAATCTCAATAAGAATAAGAACATGCATTAAGAAAGCAAATATGGTTATTTAGATTATATTGATTTCATGAGTGTCTCTATTCATTTGAAATCACTGCCAGCCTAGCCCGAGCCTCTTGGGTGTTTTTTGTAACACCAAAAATTGGTAAGACAGTGCAGGCAAGCACAGTCTTGCACAAACTTGACTTTTACAGACCTCACTATGCAGGGTCTTTACACAAAACTTAAAAATCCTCACCTCACGCAATTTCATGAGCAATTCTTAAGACTAAAACATAGACTTATCTATATACAATATCAACTAAGAACTTTGTTTTTACCAATAAAAAATAACCTTTTAAAAATATCAACATCATCTCAAACTACCTGCATTCTTTCCATAGTTGTCCTACAGTGAAACTGCACACAGAGGATATTTGGCACAGGCTGATAAAGCAGCTGGTGTGACAAACACTGAGCATTATTTCCCAGCGACCCAAAGGCCAGAGTCATTAGTGTCAGTGGAGCATTCTCACAACAGCCTGCACTGATCTGCTGCTGCTGCCAATGTGAGTCAACATTATAGAGGAAGAGACGTTCACCATTAGACCAAGAGAGAAGCTGCCCATGTCCTGTTTACTTGTCCTTGTGCATTAGCAGAAAGTCAAAATCAGAAATTAGAAATAAATCAACAGAAATTAATATAGACATACATATAAAAAAAAAATTACACTAAATGTTTAATTTTTTAAAGAAATACTTTTATTCAGAAAGGATGCATTAAATTGCTCAAACAACAGTTAAGTCATTTACATTGTTATAAAATTTATATTTTTCAATTAAATGCTGTTCATTTGATCCTCCCATTTATCCTGAACTTCCTATTCACACTGAAAAAAGTACAAAGCAGTTTTCAACTGTGATAATGACAAGACATATTTCTCAAGCATCTTGAGCATCAGATTAATCAGTTTATTAGGATGATTTCTGGTGGCTGCTGTACATTAAAATAGAAAACAGTTATTTAAAAATGCTATATTTTACAACATTGCTATTTTTACTGTAATTTTGATCAAATAAATGCAGCCTTGGTGAGCATGAGACTTTCTTTAAAAAATTTTTTAAAACATCTTACTGACCTTGGGGTGGGCGATATGGCAAAAATATACCAAGTTTTTTTTTTCAGGAAAATCACGATTTTATCACGATTCTTTGTCATGTTGGTTTTAATATTGTGCAAGTTGTCTGAGCAGTACAGCCAAACTAATTTCCCTATTTTAAAAACAAAACCTTACAAGGTAACAAAATATAAAATAAAAAAAGAATGACATATTTAGGCCAAAGTGGGCAAAGATAAAAATCTTTGTCATTATTTTATATTTGTTATTAAAAAGTAAGAACAAATATACACATTACACTTTTCAGAGACAATCACAGAATATGACAGAGCTCGTGTTTTAAAGCAAAACACACTGCAATGAATAATTCACAAAACGCAACGCGAGTCTCTGTTCTCTCTGCAATCTCCGATGTAATCAGCCTGGTTTCCTTCATATTAGCGCTGTTTTGGACGGATTGTTTGAATGCATTCGCTTACTGGATCAGTGGACCTCACCATACTGTTGATGCCGTGTCCGGCCGGAGCGACGAGACATAAACATTAAAACCCATTACAAACGAGGCATTTGTTGCATCCAGTGGGGACATAATTACGGATTATAATGACTTATACTGTCTTTTTACGCGTTGCATCGTGCCACGTAAACAAAACCATGTCTGTATTTGTGATCGGAGAAATGACAAACTACAAATGCTACTCCTACATTGCTCAAAACTCGCGTTTGAATCGTCAGTGGCAAGGATTCGACGAAGGAGCGTCCGGCGGGCTTACGGCAACCACATGTGGCGACCCCGGGCTTGACTCCGCTTCGTCCACGGTGAAAGCCAATCTGGTGATCCACAGCACGAAGTTGATGTATTTCCTCAGCGACCAGCACGGATCAGCTCCAGGCATGACGAAGCGGATATCATCCTCTTTTGGAAGGCCAAACAAAGTAGTTTTCCGTTTTAGGTAGGCGTGGTTGACTCTTAACTTTTATAAAGAATAACTCTTTGGATTTGAGACTTTAGTCTTTGCAACTTTACAGATCTTCTTTATGCACCAAGAGCTTGTAACACTCCAAAGAGAAAGGAAAAATTGAAATCGCATCATATGACCCCTTTAAATTATTTTAACGCGTTAAGGATTGTAAAATTAATCGCATGCGTTAACGATGACAGCCCTAATCTGGATATATGTCACATTGTACAGTATATTGCGACGGAGGTTCCAGAACTGCAGCTTATAGAATGTGCGCCGTAGCAGGACACTATGATATTTATTCAAAAGCAGATCGGCAAAAGGAGTAAAAGGATATTTTAGTTTATATAATAGTTATGTTTCTCCTTCCGTTATCAATTCATGCTCTCATGTACTTTGGGGTGGTTTTTAAAGCTGTGTCATTTCTGTCCTACTGTACTAGAGTTGCCAAACAGAACTACAAAAAAAGCATATAGTATAGATATATGTTTTCCCAAACATGTCCCTTTCTTCCACAGGTCACTCAAAGAGCTCTATTTTCAAAGCGCATTTCAGCCAGAGAAAGTGTTTGAGATTTATATCAACTATGAAACTACCTCATGCTGTCAGGCAAACATCTATCTCCACGTTATTTCTTGACTCCACCCACGCTACTGTAGGTCAGGACTCAATAAAGATGGTAAGTGAAGGTCAGCGAGACCACTATGGCAGCTGGACAGCAGCCCCAGGGCAGGACGATATTAAGCACAGCTGATCTTAATACAGTATGACAATCACAATGACATATTAATGAAGCCTCTTTCCCCAGAGAGGGGCTGACTGACAGGATATTGGCTACTGGATCGACCGGAAACGTTTCCTACAACTGCAGGGTGACCCACCAGAGAACGTCTGTTACAGCAATGCCGCTGGATTTCTGCATGTGGTCTGCAGACACGTACACAAACTTACTCGCCAACACACAACCCCAGGGCCCAAAATGAATCTGTGGACTTCTTTCCACATTTTCTGTGCTTATTTCAGAGGAAACTTTAACCATGGAAAACAGTTCTGGTTGTACCACACGCTGAAGCACGCTGAAAACATAAACAGGTTAGACTAAATGTTTATGGAGGATGCGTAGAACCTGTGTTCTGTGGGCACAGATCCCTGTGGGCCTGAATATCCCTGCGTTTGTACTGTTCCTCTTGACTAGAAGACCAAACACTGTGAAGTGTTTTCATCAAATATTAAATCTACATCTAAATTGCACAACAAAAATTCACATTCACCTTTGCATTCAGTATGAATGAGCTCCAGAACTAAAGATGCTATTTTAAAAAATCCAGTTTAGATTTGGGAACGTGATCGGAACAATTTAGCACCTTAGGGTACGCAGACCGCAGAAGCACTGATCTCTGCACAGCACAGCATTTCAGCAGCTACATTTATCCACAACAATTTCACTTGCTTTTTCTTTGTGTACAAACTGCTCTAAAATCACTCAGATCATTCCAACATGCAGGAAATATTCTAATCACCCTAAAAACAACTGTGCCACATCTTCACACTAATGCTAAAACATAATGTTAGATTGCATATTAAGGAACTTGATGCAGACAACACTCTCACATTTCTTTGTTCCTGTATTTTACCTCATAGTCACTCAGCAATCTTTTAATCTCAGTTTTCTCATGCCACATGAGACTCAGTGACTGAAGTCACACCACAGCATTTTTTAAAAGAGGATCTTGAATCATATGTCTTAAAAAAAATCATAATGTTGTAATATTTTATTCTGATTATTATATAATAATACCTTTTGCTTAGAATTCAGAATTTGACATATAGAGAAGCACCGAAAATTTGGCAACTTGGTGAAAAATAAAAAACACTTTCGAAAGGCCAAAATCATCATCCAAATCAGTTTTGTAATTTTAAATTTTCCGCTAAATAAAAACGTAAACTTTGTTTATGGTGTTCAGGTAACACAATTCAATTCAGTGCATTACAAATATGGAAAGTACAAAACATAAAAGACTTTTAAAGAATGACTTTCCTTTTGGAAACTAGAATAAAGAAGGACTTTTTATGTTAAGGTCTAGCAGTAAAAAAAGAAAAGAAAAACTGCATGTGTTGGATACACAGTAAGCTCTGCAGATCTCAGACTCAATGAGAATTTGAACTGAAAAAACTATTTTTGAGTCATGTTCAGTGCCGTCACATTATTGAACAAAAACAGAAAAGATTCCTGGAAAATACCTAAAAATGCTATTACAGGAACTACATCACTTTGTAAAATAAGTCAATTGAGTCTAGAATTACAGATGACAAATAGAGATGATAATTGCACACAGACATCAATGACTATCTAAAGCAGGAACCACAGCAGGTCATAAAAAGGGCTGTTAACTTTTATTACTACACTTTGTTTTCTGTTAATGTTTGCTCTTTATTTGCTTTTCTTCTGTGCTGTCTCGTAGTAGGCGTTTTACGGAAACATAACCCAGTGTAAGTGACATATGCTGAGATCTACGGTCAGTCCAGGAGGAATTATGTGGAAACCAAGGTAATTTCGCCCACCTATGGCCTACTGGACACTGGCTGACCATTCTAGACACTCTGGGACTGAGAGGACATGATGAGTTCACTGTGGGTGGTGTTGACCGTGATGTCTGACTGTTGACCGTGGTGTGGACATTTTCAGGGATTGACTGGACATAAACTGAGGGGATTTAGGTCACTGACTAATGCATTATATTTGAACTCTTTAAAGGGTCATTAAACTCCCTATTTTAGCACCGGTTTGTTCTCACCACAGTATCCAAAGCTCCAAAAGTGGCCGAGGTAAACTGAGGGGTGGAGAGGGAAGAGGCGAGACAGACACCACAACAACAGCTTCTGATCCAGTCAGTTTTATTACTCTCTTACTGAGTTAACGGCATCCAAGTTTCCCACAAATTCGCACAGCAAACCACCATTACATGCAACAAAATGATCAAATATTATGTATCGGTGGTAAGCTCACCATTCATTAATCATTATACAACCCCAATTCCTGAAAAGTTGGGACATTTTGTGAAATGTCAAATATTATCTTTAAGCTTTATTTAATTCACTAAAGTACAAAGAAAAAAAATTCCAATGTTTTCATTGGCCAACTTAATTTTATTTTGTAAATATAAACAAATTTTGATTTTGATGGCTGCAACACACTCTAAAAAGCTGGGACAGATGCATGTTTACCTCTGTGTCACATCAACTCTCCTTTTAACACTAGAACCACCACAGGGTAAAACCCATGGCTGTTTTTCAAATGTACGTAACATGATTTTCAATAAAATATCCAAGTTTCTCAGTCATTGACTTTTACTAAAATTGTGTTATTTACAATCTCCCGTTGTGAAAAATTGTTTAGATAAAACACTTTAACCGCCAAAGGTCGTTGTATACCTAAAACCGTCAGCGGGTAAAATTTACCCATGCACATGACTAGCTACTGTTTTGATATTGCTAAAAAAAACGCATTGTCACTGTATTATGCCACTGTCTTCACAAAGTAATGTCTAGAGTCATGAAATGATTATTTTAGTCATCAACTATGTTTTTGTCCTGTTGTTTTATGTTCAATAGACAAAAGAGGAGCAATAATTCACCGCACTGCTTAGGATGTATGATGCATTGACAGTTTCACCTAATTGATTATTAATTTGCTTAGTTATATAATTTATAATTTGAATAAGAGAACAACACCAATAATCTTGGGATAAACATTTTTTATTCATTACATAATAGATTTTTTTTCAGGGAATGGTCAGACTAGAATAAATAGCAACAGTAGCAAACAATAAATTAACAAAAATCAATAATTGATCCAAAGTTTGAACATTTATGAGTAGACTAAAATAAACTTTGGATTCATTATTATTTTTTGTTTTGCAATTTTTATTGTTTATTGTTCTCTGCACTATTTATTCAAGTCATGACATTTTATTATAATATTGCACAACCCAAATATGTATTTCCGTCTAATTCCCATTGTCATTGCAGGTGGGTTTAGCCTATATTCACTGTTAAGAGAATTAGTGTAGCCTGCTTAAAATAGCGGTGAACACAAAACAACAGGACAAAAACAGTTGATAACTACAAATAATCATTTCATGACTCTAGACATTACTTTGTGAAGACAGTGGCATAATACAGTGACATAATGCATTTTTTAGCCCTATCAAAACAGTAGTCATGTGCATGGGTAAATTTTACCTGCTGGCGGTTTTAGGCATACAATGAGCTATTGTTAATTACAATGTTTAATTGTTTGGGAATTGAGGATACTAATTAAAGTTAATGTTTTGCAAGCAAAATTTTTGTCCAATCTCGCTTGATACAAGACTATAGACACTGCAAAAAATGGCTTATCTTACTTAGTATTTTTGTCTTGTTTTTAGTCAAAATATCTAAAAAAATTCTTAAATCAATACTTTTACTAGATAAGCCAAATGACTTAAGATATTTAGTCTTGTTTCCAGGGGGAAAAAACTAAATTAAGTGGTTTTATGTTCAATAGACAAAAGAGGAGCAATAATTCACCGCACTGCTTAGGATGTATGATGCATTGACAGTTTCACCTAATTGATTATTAATTTGCTTAGTTATATAATTTATAATTTGAATAAGAGAACAACACCAATAATCTTGGGATAAACATTTTTTATTCATTACATAATAGATTTTTTTTCAGGGAATGGTCAGACTAGAATAAATAGCAACAGTAGCAAACAATAAATTAACAAAAATCAATAATTGATCCAAAGTTTGAACATTTATGAGTAGACTAAAATAAACTTTGGATTCATTATTATTTTTTGTTTTGCAATTTTTATTGTTTATTGTTCTCTGCACTATTTATTCAAGTCATGACATTTTATTATAATATTGCACAACCCAAATATGTATTTCCGTCTAATTCCCATTGTCATTGCAGGTGGGTTTAGCCTATATTCACTGTTAAGAGAATTAGTGTAGCCTGCTTAAAATAGCGGTGAACACAAAACAACAGGACAAAAACAGTTGATAACTACAAATAATCATTTCATGACTCTAGACATTACTTTGTGAAGACAGTGGCATAATACAGTGACATAATGCATTTTTTAGCCCTATCAAAACAGTAGTCATGTGCATGGGTAAATTTTACCTGCTGGCGGTTTTAGGCATACAATGAGCTATTGTTAATTACAATGTTTAATTGTTTGGGAATTGAGGATACTAATTAAAGTTAATGTTTTGCAAGCAAAATTTTTGTCCAATCTCGCTTGATACAAGACTATAGACACTGCAAAAAATGGCTTATCTTACTTAGTATTTTTGTCTTGTTTTTAGTCAAAATATCTAAAAAAATTCTTAAATCAATACTTTTACTAGATAAGCCAAATGACTTAAGATATTTAGTCTTGTTTCCAGGGGGAAAAAACTAAATTAAGTGCATTTTGCTTAAAACAAGTAAAATTATCTGCCAGTGGGGTAAGCAAAATATTCTTAAAACAAGAGTATTCTTGAAACAAACACTCACTTGCAATCTATGCAAGCATCTCTCAACTATTGTACATTTATCACATTTTGAAGCGTCTGTCATTGGAAGGCAAAAAGTGCTGTTGTGAATAATTAGGAGAAGCATCTAACAGGATAAGCACATGCAGTCTGGTGAATAATTATATGACTATATTGCATCACTGATGTACCATAATGTGTGAAATAGTGAAAATAATAAAACACAAAGCAATTTTTTCAGAGGTGTTCACGGGCCATAAAACAGTTCTGTGGCAATGAGCCAAATCTCCACATTACAGCCAAACCAATTTTACACATTGTTATACAAGCATCTTTTTTTGGTCCTCACTGCTGACATGTTCAACTGTTGTAGCTTATCTATGTTGTGTGTTTAGTGAGATGCTGACAGTCAAAATGTGTTTTGGTCAATGATTTCAGCCTTCCCAAACTATTCCGGCCAAAACCAAGAATTTGAAAATGTTGCTGTTTTGCCTGAATATTTTTGGCTGCAGAAATTTATGTGCATCATTAATAGCAGCCAAACATGATTACAAGAAGTTTTGTTCAGCAGCTGTGTAGAAACAAATTGACTTGAGACATTTATTCACTCCTACCTGAAATGCATCTCGACCGCTAGGTGATGACACACATGTGACAGAGCGCTGGTCCACCAGGTCCAATGCCTGAAGAGCACATGGGCCGAACACAAATCGCAATCTGTAAGAGCAAATAAACTGAGACTTAGAGGAATGTTTCACCCAAAAATGAAAATTTGCTAAAAATGTACTAATCCTCAGGCCATTAAAGATTTGGAGAAATTTAGCATTACATCATTTGCTCACCAATGGATCCTCTTCAGTGAATGGGTGCCATCAGAATGAGAGTCCAAACAGCTGATAAAAACATCACAATAATCCAAGTAATCTATTTGTCTTCAGTCAATCAATTAACATCTTGTGAATAAGAAACAAATCCATCATTAAGGGGTTTCAACTACAGTATAAACTGTCACACTTTTGGCCAAAATACTAGTCCATAATCCATAACATCGTTTCCACCAGTGTAAAAGTCCATCCCCTGCTGTCCCCTTGCATCAAAATCCACCAACATATTTTTTTAGAACTCTTTTTGCTTGTAAACAGTGATTGATCTCTGCATATTTCTCTCCTTTTTCACTGTAGAAAGCAATATTACACCAACATATTTTTTAGAACTCTTTTTGCTTGTAAACAGTGATTGCTCTCTGCATATTTATCTCTTTTCACTGTAGAAAGCAATATTACACAGAGGACTTGTTTGAAGTAAAGTGCCCCTATTATGCCTTTTTTCGAATATTACCTTTCATGCAGTGTGTCATATAGCTGTATGTGAACAAACTATCTGCAAAGTTGAAAAAGAATCGGCTTGCAATAGCCTAATCGAGTCGTCAGGAATTCGAATCTTATTCTGTTACGGCTCTACGTCACGAAGTAACACATTTGCATAATGTCTGCCCACGTTCTACGTCGCCAACTTCAACTTGCAGTAAAATTTCCTTGTGGTTAACATCATGTCGAGAAGACGCTGTGAGAGTAAATTTGATTTATCTATCTTATAATTACCACAAACTTGTTAGCACTTGACACTTACCACTGAGAAACGTCCTGCTCCAGTCATGCTTGCGAATCAGTCTCTTGTCGATCAGCCAGTACAACCGTTTCATCATCAGACTCCTCACAAAGGACTGCGCCATCTGACCAATCACAGCAGTGAGGGCTCATGGAAAGGAGGGGTTTAGAGAGACTGATTCTTTGAACTGCTTCGCACGAGTAGTTTACGAATCATTTAGAAATGAGGTAAAATTAAATCTATTTTTTGAGAAAACAAACATGTTTTTGACCTTGTTGAAAATGTAAACCTGTTTTAGGAGACTCATAAAACAATATTAGCAACCTTAAAAATGGCATAATAGGGGCACTTTAAAAACATCTTGATGGATTTATTACAAACATGCAGCTTTTCACATCACAATATGTTAAATGGACTGGAGTCGTGTGGATTACTTGTGGTTTGTGAGTATAGTGTGGATTACTTGCAGTTTATTTTATCATCTGTTTGATTTCTGATTCTGACGGCACCCATTCACTGCAGAGGATCCATTGATGAGTCAGTGATGTAGCCTGATGCTAAATTTCTCCAAATCTGTTCAGATGAAGAAACAAACTCATGCATCTTCAATGGCCTGAGAGTGAGTACACTTTCAGCAAACTTTCATTTTGGGTGAACTATTTCCTTTAACTGTACAGGAAACCATGCTAGGTGAGATAAGTGACATGTACACAGGAAGATGGGGGGCAACAAACCTCAGCTCTCACATTTAACCCAAAGCAAGTGTGGTTTCCGGTCTTAAAATAAAACTAGCAATTTATTTTACAATGGAAGTATGAAACTCCAATACTCCATCATCTGAATGTCATCCAGCCACATTCAAATAATGTCTCGTAGAGAAGCAGACCTAAGCGAACACATGATGTGATGACACTGAAACCACAATCAATTGCCCAATAAAGCAAAAAGTGCTGACCTGTGATGTGAACAGACATTTATGGAGGAATGTGATTCCCACAGAAGAGTAATTACTGTGGCTTAGTGCTTCCCTCAATGGCAGCCTGATGACTGTCATTGTGGGTTTGAGGATGCTTTTAAAGTCATGATTTATTCAGACAATGACGTCTAGAAAGAGAGCGCTGGGTAAAGACATACATGTGTGTAGGGCTGCACAATAAATCGAAATGGAATCGAGATCGCGATTCGACAGAAGCTGCGATTGTCATGCGTATCTTTCAGTGAAGCACGGTTCTGTGGTCAGCAGTAAATCTCCATCCAAAGGCCAGAGGGCGCTCTCGCGCTGAAACTCCAAATACTCCTCGCAGAAGAAACCCAGGAAATGCCTATCGCTGCAGCTGAATAAACAGCCCCAACTGCTCCCGGGGCGCCGCAGCAAAAAATGGCTGCCCACTGCTCCGGGTGTGTGTTCACATTGTGACATTATGAAGTGATGTTTGGAGTAAAAATATGTTATTAAATGTGGTATTTTCACATGCTTTCAGATGGAGCAGCATTTACTTCACAGCCGTAGTGCACTGAGAAGCTATGCAAACAGCTGTCATTATCGCAAACGATTTCTTCGATTTCAGAATCGCGCAATAAAATCGGCTGCGATTTTTTTGCGTAACTTGTCAGTGAACTATGGCTATGTGTAGTAAGTTCTGCTCCATCTGAAAGCACGTGATGATGATTTCCTGCTGATTACAGAACCGGCTTTTTTAAACAAAATGCACATGACAATCGCATTCGATTAATCGTGCAGCCCTACATATGTGCTTGATAAAGCCTGTGCTGAGTATATCCGGCAACTAAGAGGTAAGGTCTGGTTTCTGTACAGTGTTCAGTGTCAATAACATACATCATCAGTAATAATTGACCCTCCTCAACTTCAGGTCAAAAGCATCCATAATATGCAGTAAAACTACAGTCTGTAGTTCAAGGCCACATCTCACAGTATGTTAAATGTAACTAGAAGTAGAAGAAAAAATACTTACGCTATTAGTAGGTCATCTGGTACTATATGAAAGATTTTTAAAAAACAAGAGATGTTAGTTATTACGGTTCTATAAAAGTGAAAAAATTGAAAAGCACAAAGCATGTTTTAATGCAGAAAAGCAATATATACGAGTACTTGAAACATAAGATCTAGAAAAAATAACTGCTTAATAGTTAAGTACATGTTAAACATAATATAACCAATTATCAGTCATGCAAAACAGCCTAGTTTGGCTGTTTATTTTGGTCACCATGGTTCTCTGGAGAAAGACCCAGAGAAAGTAGAAATTGAAAAGACATCTCAATCTCAAAAACACTACAGCCATCATTACTCCTCTAATCATTACTCCCTTGAAGTTTCTTTCTGGCATTGCTTGACATCAAAATTCCAGCAGAATAATGTCATTACTCTTATCCAGATGCTCTGCATTAAGTCTTGTCTGCACACATAAGGATTTCACAAAACCTCAATGAACACAGTGACATTTTAACACACTTATTTAACACAAGGCTTTGGATTACTGAACATCTCATTAGGCAATAAGCTCTGAAGAACATGATGCTGTAGGAAAAATCGGAACATAAATCCCTATACTTTAAACCCTACACTAAAGGCAAACACTTCCAATCCGATCCAAAAAATTAAAAAAAGTTTACCACCACTCCCCAGGACTTGTCGTCGTTTAAACAATCATGAAGCATAGCGAAAAATAGACGCAACTGGTATTAGTGCGCCATCCGGTGTCAGTAATAGAAATTGCAGCTATTTCTACTCTTGTCTAAAGAATCAAAATGTTCACCGACTTTACAGTTCACCTCCACACATTCATTTTTATTATCAGACCTAAACACTTCTTTTTTTGAACTGTTGATCAAATGTCTGTTGTTCAAACGTCCGTATGAGACACAGTGGGGTCCAAATGTCTGAGAACACACTGAAAATCTTTAACCAATAAATACATTTCAAAAATTAAAACAACAAAAGTTTATGATATGTTTTAGGCCTAATGTTCTCGTTTCCAGTGAAGCACACGGTGCTTTTCAGAATAATATATCAGTGTCAGACCAAATTATTCGACCAATTATTAGACGATGTTATTCAAACTAAAGATTTATAATATTAAAACTACAAAAACCTTCACTAATAATATAATTTGTTAAGGAAAATATAAATTTCAAAAATACATTTTCACTAGTGATCAGGGACCTCAGCAGCCCAAGGTACAGTGTGACTACAGGATGTCTAGTAGAGTTTTTCTGCTTTTCAGATCAACTTGTAACACTCCAAAGAGAAAGGAAAACTTGAAATCGCATCATATGACCCCTTTAATGCTTCATCACTCAGTGGCTTCATCCACTAGACTAGACATCATGAGCTTCAGACTTACTCTGCTTTGTCTCCGAGTAAGTTCTCTGAAGGTCTTTCAAAAGCTGCTCAGCAACAGAAGGCAGAGATGAGCCCATAATGCACCTGAAAACTAAAATAGCCACAAGCATGAGTTCCATATGTCTTTGCATATTAATTAACGTTACCGTACGTGATTTGAAACTTTGAAAGCATGTCAAGGGGATCTGTAGTTATATCACGTGGTATTTAGTTACATATTAGTTAAATCTTTAGCATCTTTCTTTTACACATCTGTAAATGTGGAGTTCATGGCAATGTTATCTATTTGCATTAAAGACAACTACTAGAAAACGAGCTAATTAGCCAAACAATTGCTTTGTAATGTTGAGAAAGTGTTCATATTTCACATTTGTCTAATACATGGATTTGTAAACTACCTGAAAACCAACCAATAACATCAACACCTAGACTTCGTAACTTCGAGACGATTTCGAAAGCAGCTTCTAAAAGCATCAGCTGACCGAATATCTGCTGAATATGTAAATATTTAACGTGCAGCGACACACACAAATGCAAACATTTACCGTGTTCATGTTACCCGCACCTCTGTACGCTCTTCTTCTTCTAATAACGTTTTATGGCGGATGGCAAACTCAGAAACCAATGTTAAATCTATAGCTGACCCAATACCACGTACCAAATCTATTCTTGTGTTTCTACCATCATTTAAACATACTAACCCATTACTGTCTATTATTTCTTCTACAACATCCCCATTATGATCATCATTACTGCTTCCCCATAAAGTGCTATGTGCATTAAAATCCTCTGTACGCTCTTCTTCTTCTTCAGTAGTTTGAATGGTGTATAACATACTGTTGGGTTATAGCGCCACCTACGGTGCTTAGTGCAATTGGCAAGGCCAATTTATTCTTTTAAACTTTTAAACTCATTAAAAAAACACTCTAAAAAATTATAATATTCCGCAAACCATCTCCTAATAACCGTCCCAGAGTTACTTCAGAGAGTAGAAGTTCCTTCTTTAATATGAAATAAATCTCAAAATATTTAGAATGTTTTTCAAATCAAAGTAGTCAAATATTTGAAAAAGTTTTTTTTTGTTAAATTGACAGATTAAATAAAGAGACAATTATTTTCTTAAACTGATGCACAAATTGTAAAATTTTACATTCAGCAGGTGTTGATTTTTTAGTTTTTTTATTCATACATTAAATGTAGATTGAGTATCCAAATACTGATTTGGACAAATAATGATTAGATGACTGTCAACTAAATGCCAACCCATAACAACGAGGAACGAATTTAAATGCAATTCAAATAACAAAAAATAAAAAGATGGTTTTGATGCACTACTTAAGAATACCCTTATAATGTATTATAAATACGGGCTTCATAGAAAGTGTTACCAAATATTTTTTTTTATTTTGAAAGGAGCCATAAAAACACGTTTCAACCATTAATATGCAAACAACTTTTTGAACACATTTTCACAACATACTTCGAACACAGGCTTACAGTTTAAATAAAAGTGTGCGAGTCCATTGAGTCGCATGCTGCTGGTCTTCGGTGTGTTTCTCAGCGGACAGTAGTGGCGCGTGTGCGCCCAGTCTCCGGTGGCGGAGCAGAACGGGCACACGTAGCTCCTCAGGATCGGGCAGAGGATGCGTCCGTCTCGGGCTTTCAGTCTGTGACTCGCGTAAACCACCGCCGTCTCTCCTTTTTGTCGGCAGAATCCGCAGGTGTCTCGCGGGGTGCGCAGGTCGCGGCTGGAGGAGGCAGAGGTGCTGGAGGCGCTGCTGGTGGAGCCGGCTCTCATGAAACCCTCCGCGGGTGTCCCACCCTCAGCTGAGGCTCGTCCTTCGTCGCGATGCTCCAGCAGCTGCGACAGAGTCCTGCGGAGATCCATGTAGTCGCGCCACATAAGGAAACAGCCGTCAGCTGCGGGGATGCTCTTCTCGCGCTTCTCGGTCATAGAGGAGGACTGCATCATGTCCGGTTTGAGTCAGGTGTGTGTCACCCATCATCACCCCGAACTATTTATAGGAGAATCGTCTAAAGACCCCAGACAGGAATGCGTTCTGTCTGGGGCACTGAACACCTGGCCCGTGCTTGACCGAGGTCGTCACAAGGTCACTAGGGTCAGGCACGCGCTCCTGTTTGTTTTGAGCGTGTCAATTACTGAGCAGCACGTGCGAGACTGAGTTCACGTGAGCGCTGCTGTCTGTCTGTCTGTCTCTTGTTAACATTGTAACATTTTCAACTAGTACATGCCAACTTGTGCTATTAAAAATAAGTTGCCAGAACCTACCAGTAAACAGCCTGACAAAATCTAAGCAAACAACCCTTACAAAACTAAGTTTTTTCAGAAACAAAAACTAAATTAAAAATTAAATTAAAAGCTACGTTTAAATTTAGATTCCCAAATGTGTTTTTCTTTTCTTTTCTTTATTGCTTTTGTTAACTTTAAGGTTCAAGTTTTTTTTTTTTTTTTTGAGTTCATGTAATGTGTTATTTGGAATATATATACCAACAAACATTTTGAGATCATACACTCCAGGCTGGGCCATCTTTGATTTATCAAAAAAGATGATCCTTTTCTGTTATCAAAAATGTTGATTACACATGTTAATTAATGTAATAATCAGTGAATGTCAGTTTATTCAATGAATGTGAGTAGAATTAATGAAGTTTCAAGTTGGCTCACTTTATCTTTTGAAAATCATATTCCATGTTATAAAAACAGCCTTCTTCCATCTTAAGGCCAAGTGCCACTGCACTGACAGACGCAGACCGACACTGACAGTCAACATAGTACAGTATGTCACTTCTCAGACCTTCCAAGACCGACAAATGCCGATCCAACATGTTCAATCAGTGAAAACAAGTGCCAACCAACAGACAAGGATAACGCATGAATGTCACGAATGTGTCTGTTGCGGTTCATCGGTACCGGTCAGTGCGTTGTGAATTCGCCTTTAGTAACATTGCCAAGACGCGGAACATGATATCTTTTTCTGGTGCTGAAAAGCAAGTTCATGCATTCCTCTAGATTGGATTATTGTAATGCCCTATAGGTGCTTGTGCTGCATCCTCAATAAACAAGCTACAGTTCAAAATGCAGCTGCTAGAATTCTTACTAGGTCAAGATAATATGATCATATCACCCCGGTTTTATCATCTCTACACTGGCTACCTATTCAGTTCAGTATTTATAACAAAGTATTACTGCTTACTTATAAGGCCCTAAATGTCCCAAGTATGGAAATAGTACACTTACAAGTATGCTACTTGTACTGTACATTGAAATTAGTACAGTATATACTTGGAAAATATACTTGAATGTTACTGAAGTTTACTTAATAAAAAATGAATTTCAAGAATATTTATTTTTGTAAGGGGAGTAATGAAACGGCAAAATAATACATATGCACAGATTATATCACAATAAACATGGGACACCTCTCCCCAAACTGATATTTGTATAACTAAATAATGAGTCAGTAAATCATTTCTATATGGAGCTCACACAGAGGCATAATCATGCTGAAAAACGTTGATAAATTTGAGCTAAAGTTGTGTAAGTAATGTAGCATGTGGCCATTCAACACCTGCACTTTAATTCAGTGTTACTGGCTTTGTTTATGCTTTTTATAATTATATGTCATGCTGTTCAATATTGATCAGTTTTTACAGCTAAGCATTGTTTACTGTGGATTTACTATATCCAACAATTCACACCACAGTAAAGTCACCCCACATAAGCATATTTAAGATATTTGACTTCAAGTAGACCTTTTAATAAAACAAAAACTTGCTGTGCTCAATGTACACTTTTATTTATTTTACTAAAAACGGGGGAAAAAAGGTCACATCAACATTTACCCTTGTTAATACAGTATACTCAATATCTTTCCAACAGAAAATACACCAGTTTTTAATTTCCTTTTATATTAAAATATCAACTAGTCTGCAATCTAACAGTGCTTATGAAGTACATGTCACTGGCTTTATAGCAGAAAAGTTACATTTTTCCCTCTGCTCTGCCAGTGGTCTTCAGCAGTGGAGTAATAATAATAATAATAATTAAATAAAATCAAAATACAAAGAAGAAATTGAACCTTTGTGTTATCCTGCCAACTTTTTATCTGACAAGCTGAACATGCAAAAAAAGGGCAATAACACAGATCTTTCTACAGAATAAACTGAAGTATCACCAGACACGTCAACTTGCAAAGGTGACAGGAGATGATTTTTCTCCAAATCAAGACATAATTTTGCATTTTTCCAAGTATAATCTCACTACATCGCGACTGGTCCCAAAAGCTGGCTGACTTAACTGTTAGTTTCTCTCTTCTACTGTATAATCAAGTCTATACTGACAGGAAGTTAAAATGAATCAAAAACAAATAGACCAAAAATTGCAAATGAAGGACTCTATAGAGTCTCAAAATGTACTGAACTGTACAGGCACAATTAACTCATAATAAATAGGGCAATTTTTGGCCTGGATGTACTTGGACAAGGAAGGTCTGGGATTTCAATGTTTTGCCCAGAAGGAAACATTCGCAGCATGAGATTTTATTTTGAACAAATGCATTTGCTCTTTCTCTCTCACATAAACACACACACTCACAGCTCAGTGGCTTCATATCACATACACAAAAGCTTATGAAACAAAACAAAACAAAACAAACAAATAATATTTATAAACATGTAAATGCTGAGTTCTCTTCCAGCTGCTGGATCACTGAACTGGGCTTCAGAGGAGATGCCACAATGGATGCAGACATCCCAGCATGCATCTGCAACTCAGACGAACCAACATCCCAAGACACAACCTTCAGATGGGACGGTGCATGATGTGTTTGACGTGTGTTTGTGTTTGGCAGGACACCTGTGTGATAAGTGCAACATTTGTATAAGGTGATGCTGAATCCTGGGCTCGCTCGAGATGGGCCTCCTCTCGCTGCAGTTCTTCTCCGCACTGAAACGAAGCTTATGCTCCCATTACACATGAACATGACTGGAGACAACAAACGCAGGGGAGAGTGGCCACAGTCTCTCTCTGTCCCCCCGTTGGCTTTGTACACAAAAAAGACCATGTTTGAGAGGAAGGGAGTCTGTTGTTGGAGTTAGACGTCAGTTGAGAAATAGAGTGTGTTCTTCTTCAGCTCAGCGAAGGATATGGGTGGATGCTGCAGGTAGTACAGCAATACCTGAACCTGTGAAGAGAGAGGAGGATTCATGACACTAACATTCTCAATCATATGTCAAACTATCAGCGCTATTCACCCACACCACTAGATGGTGCTGCAACTCCTGCATGAATGCCACTGTGAGTTTAGTCTGATGAACAATCTGGAAACTGCTACTCTTTAGCATGGAACAAGCCATATCTAAGTTCAGAATTGGTTCTGACTGAAGAAAAGGGAACGAGCAAAACATTGTGTCCTAACCAGAGGCCAGATTATTTATAATGATAATAATAATAATGGTAGTTGTAGTAATAATACAATTATTATTATTATTAGTAGTAGTAGTATTAAGACTAAGAGCATATGAGCTCCAAACTATAAATAATAATAATATTCATC